AAGTAATGAAAAAAAAAGGACATGAAAATAAACATATCTACATATCCACTTTTCTATAGAAACACAAAGAATAAGATGAAACACTTGCCACCTCCTGCGTCAATAACTATGCTTACTAATGAGATTGTTGTAGTCCAACAACAAAGGGTCCTTCCCGTATCATTGGGTACTCGATTTATTCGTAAAATTCTAACCCCCACCACATTTCATTCATTTGCTTTTATTTTATTTATACTTACTCGACACTCTCTCCAAAGCTCGACTCTTATTGTAGCACTTGAGGAAAAAGAGGGTGGAATTTCTTACGCTTATATAGACTAGCACGTTCTTTTTTTTTTATTATCCTTTCCTAAATTTCAGTTGGAACCAGAAAAGACTTAAAAACGCGCGCAAAATACTACTAGCTATCACAGGCTTTGAAATAACGTCTTGGTTTTTGTATTTATTTGACAAGGACAGATTTAGAGCGAAGCTATATTTATGGAGGAGCTAATACAGATTAAGAATCCTTTATCTGAAATTCTTGAGACCGGAAGTACTTCAGTTTTCCGATTTCTTCGGATTTTGGAATACAGGCATCTATAAAATGGGGCAGTTTCAAAACATTCATCATAAAACTAGAAATTTATCCTGCTTCGTTAGTTCCTTCATGGCGGTTTTTCCAACGCCACACTCCTCAGTCAGACCCTTCACATTTACACTCCTGTTTAGTTTTTCCAACAGTCTGACTTTCTGTGATACTGATAAACATAAATGCTCTCTTTCTTTTCCCTACCATTATGTATATCGGCAGGACATTTTTAATATTTTGAATAATATCTTTAGGGTATCTGTCTATATTTCTGAGATGAGGTATTATGTACACTATTTACATTATTCGGACTGTTGTCCTCATCTTTGTCGCTATATTTATTACAACGTTTCGGCCGTTGTACGCCCCGGCCTTCTTCTGGTGGTTGGAATGTCGAACTGAACCCTTTATTTTGTTCACTGGGGTAGACTTTTCTAGTTCCACGTGCCATGTTTAATGGATGTCAGTTATCAGTTATCTCCTGTTAATTCCCCTCTCCAAGTTCTCCACTGCCTTAACCGTGTATTGAACTCACGCTCTTTGGGTCCTGTTACTGGATCTAACCAACGCCTTTATCTATTGCGCCATGTCCTCTCAAAGACCTGAAAAAAGCCGGAGCGTACAACAGTCAAAATGTAATAAATATGGCGACAAAGATGAGGACATTAGCCCGAATAATGTAAATAGTGTATCTTTAGCGTGCACCAAACACCTGGTTAGGTAATCTACGAATGAAGATGTTGCTGTGATGATCGCTAACAAAAAACTGGCGTCAACGTAGGCTACGTAGATGGGCTGAGGAACCCCAACCCACGGCAGATGAGGTCACTTAGACAGCTACACATCACCCAAGAACCTTCCCAGTGCTTTCTGAAATATTTGTGCGAGTAATGTCAGCACCTGAGAAACCTTCGGATTTTGGAGGTCTTCAGATAAACGATACTCAACCTGTAGCGTAACGTGTCCCTTCAAATCGTCGGCGATCAGGGCTCTCTAAAATTTCCCTGGCTCCATTTATATTTTTGTTATCTCTCCCAAACCCCGTTCTGCCATTTATTTACACAAGCTCGTTTTCCCTGTCTCTCTTGCATTCAATATCTTTGAGGGCCAAATTTTCCATGCTGATGTTCGTCGTTCCTCATGTTGAGGACATGGTATTCTCAGCATCCTTCTGTAGGACATTTCTGTCGGCTTAAGTTTCTTCTTTGTCCGTGCGGAGATCACCCAGCATTCATTGCCATATAGGACTGATATTATATAACATTTCAGTACTCTTTTCTTTGTTTCTAACGAAATTTTCCTGTTTCTTGATACTTTGCTTAGCTTTGGAGAGGCTACTTTGGCTATCCAAACACGCCATCGGGTTTCAATGTTGCACTTTCCGTCTTTTGTTAAAACATTTCCCAGATATTTTAATTGTTGTACTTGCTCGATTTTGTTATGTCCCATTTGTAATTTGAATGTCAGGTTGTTCCACTTGAAGCCAATCATATATTCTGCCTTCTTGCAATTGATGTTTAATACTTTCATTGATTACCTTCTGTAGTAGTTCCTGTATTTTCCTTCCTGGTCATCTGCATATCTTACGTTGATAAGATTATAGTTACCAACATTTGTAGGACTTCGATTTCTCTCAGAATCGCCACATGAATAGGGTGAATGTCTGGTGAGAAGACCCATTCTTGTCTTATATCCATTTCTATTTTTGCATATTTATTGAATGCATGCAGGCGGTTAGAAATTTAATTTAGGCGTACTTGTTCAATTTCACTTGGATTCTACTTCGTTTATTCCACATGAACCCATCTTCCTCCAGATATTGGATAAATGGTAGGGTATACCATACTCTTGTCCTATGAGGGCAACCAGTCTAGGTTTGGTTTGTTTTACGGCATATCAACCTCAATGGGTCATTTAACGCCGACAAATTTCTTTTTCTAGTAATATTTTGTTTTGTCAAAAATCTATTTTTTTCTTCAAAAATGTATAGCTGGTAATAGTTTTTTTTCTTCAAATCTTATTTCTGGTAATAGTTTTTTTACAAAGTATTTCTGGTATTAAAACCTATTTTTACACTTTCATAATGTTGTGACTTCAGTTTTGGGGTTAACTATTTACCCATAGCTGAGACCCTAACAGGTGCTACCACCCCTGGTCAGAGTGGACCTTGGAACACCAGCGATTAAGAGGTGGGTTCCACGCTCCTCAAAGCCTTCTGATCAGAGGCCTTGCTGTTGGTTGTAGTTTATCGTCATACCCTAGACTGGTCAGGAATTACCATATTTCAAAAAACACAAATTAAAAACTTTAAATTCAATTATATAATTAAATTTAAAGAATTTAATTATATAATTGAATTTGAAGATTTACTTTGTTTTTCAAACATGGTAGTTCCTGTGTAGCGATGGAACCATATTTTTAAATCAGTTAATTTATAATATTTATTTACATTGAGCACCGTTTTGTAAAAATAAAAATATCAATAAGAACACCGGATTATATATCTTACTGTTCTTTCGTTTTTTTTACTATATATATTACATAATATATATATATATATATATATATATATATATATATATATATATATATATATGTGTGTGCGTTAACGGAAGACAAAAATCATTGGTGGAACCAACTGGCAACTTGCCAAATCGCGGAAAAACAGATAGCGTAATGAAAGAGGCCACAAACTTAACGAAAATAAAATTTTATCCTCAAAATATTTATGTTATTAAGATGTAAAGACCAAAGTATTTTTTAACTATTTTTTTTGAATTTTTTAATCCATTCTAAACACGTTCGAAATTTTGGTTAAAGTCTTCTTTTGTTTACGTCATCGCAGTGACATGAAAATAACCTTGGTTTATTTTGCGCTTTTCTCCGTTGAAAACACATTGATTTGGAAATTCTTGTAAAAATCAATTGTCCGATTTTAATGACATCTTCAGGACTTATTCACAAATGAAATTATTTTTTTTTTTTTAAATGCTTTTTTTTTTAGAAAATTTTGGTAAAAAATATATTTTTTAAATATGTTACCCCCCACCCACTTAAGTTCATGAAATTTCGCACAAAACCTTTCTAATTCCTGATTTTTTTTGTTAAAAGTAGGAATCTTTGGAGATTGTAAATCACCTACTTTTTTTTAAAAATTTGAGCTATCTAACTGAAAATCTGCTCCGAACTGAAAATAATGAATCCAATAAAACTAAAATTAAACAAAATTAAGAAAATGGTCACTTTTAAGAAAATTCTAAGAAATCAAAATTAAATTTGACATTCCAAATTATATAATTTCTTCTGCTATGATGAGAGTGAAACGCCACAATAGCAGACAGAGAAAGGAAACTAAAGGGATTTCTACAAAATGTAGTGAAGGAAAGCGAGAAGAAAGGACTAAACATCAATTGCAAGAAGACAATGCTTGTCAACAAAAGGAACAGTTCAAAAGGCAAATTAAGAATTGGGATTTTTGGAAAGTGTTTTCAAAAAGCTAATCAAAGTATTAAGAAACAGGAAAATTTCGTTAAAAACAAATAAAAGAGTATAAAACGTATGTAACATCAGTCATCCGATATGGCAGTGAATGCGGGACAATCTCTATACAAATGAAAAGACAACAGAAATGTGGTTCTACAGGAGGGAACTGAGAATGCCATAGCCTGAACACGTGAACAATGACGAAATTTTAGAAACAAAGACACGTTTACATTTAACATCGTATAGAGGCAGTTGAAATTTTTTTGGCACATGAGAAAAGAGAACTTGGAAAATTTGACACTAGCAGGACCTATTGAAGGCAAGAGGAACAGCGAAAAACAGTGCCTAACTTACCTAACTAGATGGCAGAACAGAGTTTAGAAGAGTTTGGAAAAAAGAGAAAGAGCCGAAATTATGGAGAGCCATGATCGCCAACGTTCTGAAGGGGCATAACACACAGGGGACAAACTAATATTTGGGGGAGATGAAGGATTACCGCTGAGGTTGTAAGATCTCAGTAAATCCCGTTAGCGGTATAATTTTCACTTCTTTCACATGAGCATATTATTATTTGAATACAATGTCCGTAAATTGACCCGTGCCTTATTTAAGTAAGCCCCCATCCCTGCAATCAAATCACTAGCCGTAGCCCCCATATTTCTATAACCTTTGACCTCGTCATCACACCCAATAAACAAAAATCAAGAAGAAAGTGATAAAAAAAATATAACAAAAATCAAGTGTGTGTAATATATATATATATATATATATATATATATATATATATATATATATATCACACTGGGCGGAGTTAGGACGTATAGGTGGGTAATTTAGACTCATGGTGGGCATCTTTTCACATTTTTGTGTCTTTCATGAACAAGCACCTCACTCTTACTTTTTTTAGCCCGACCCCTTAGGCTTTCTTTTTATCTGTCGCTTTATTCTATTTATTTGTTCCTTTGGTCACTGTTATTTGGTGGCCCGTCTCTTTGCCGTCTATTCTTTTTTTGTTGCTGTCATTATTATTACTACTACTCAAATTGTTATTGAAGCCACTGTTGTTACTAATGCTCTTCGAAGCCGTGTGCGTCTCGCTGAAGAAGACAATGATGTGAATAAGGAGGGGAAATAATAATAAACAACAATAAAAGTTGAATACGGGAATACAAAAAGAAAGGCGTAAAGAAGGCGCAAACAAGCGCTGAAACTAAATTAAGTAAAACACGCAGTGAAGCCTACAGGAAAGCAAGGCAAATGTTTCAATGTTCGTCTTGGCAATGTTTTCCATTGTCGGTTGGTACTCCCACCTCCACCAAGAGTACCAATATTTTCATTATAAAATAACAAAATCGGAATTTAACAAATACGGAAGTGAGAGAGAGAGAGAGAGACGGGAAGATATGAGAGAGACGGGAAGATATGAGAGAGACGGGAAGATATGAGAGAGACGGGAAGATATGAGAGAGACGGGAAGATATGAGAGAGACGGGAAGATATGAGAGACGGGAAGATATCGAGAGAGACGGAAGATATGAGAGAGACGGGAAATATGAGAGAGACAGGAAGATATGAGAGAGAAGGAAGATATGAAAAGACGGGAAAGCAATGAGAGACGGAAGATATGAGAGACGGGAAGATATGAGAGAGACGGAAATTATGAGAGAGACGGGAAGAGATGAGAGAGATAGAAGATCCGTGAGAGAGACGGGAAGATATGAGAGAGAGATCTGGAAGATATGAGAGAGACGGGAAGGGAGAGAGAGAGGGAAGATATGAGAGATTCGGGAACTCATGAGAGAGAGGGAACTCTTTTGAGAGAGAGAAGAAGGAGAGAGAGGAAGATATGAGAGAGACAGAGAGAGGAAGATATGAGAGAGACAGAGAGAGGAAGATATGAGAGAGACAGAGAGAGGAAGATATGAGAGAGACAGAGAGAGATATGAAAGAAAGGATATGAAGATATATGAGAGAGAAAAAAATTCTATGAGATAATTTGAAATTATTATCGACAACAATCTCCCCGTATAAAAATTTCGATTTCAAATGCCCATAACCAAAAGAATAAACCAGAAAAGAAAACACACAGTGTCATGGCGTGTTCTTGCCGTGAAATTTTGCCTCGGCGGGACCAGAGAATATAGTTCATCCGTGGAAGTAGCGGTAGATCTGCGTAAGGCTTGCCACATTGCACCTGTGGGAGAGAAGTTGAAGGGTAATTCGTTACTCACAAGAGCTCAGAGACTCTTTTGGACTATCAAGGCTGGAAAATGAGGTATGGGCAGCTCCCGCCCAACAGTAACCCGTTTTTGGCCTGATCTGGCTCTTGTAAATGGTGGAGGATAGCAGGGGGATATAAAATTTTAATTTATTGCTTGAACATTACTTCAAATTGATACCAATATTTGAGTAGATGCCCCGTTTTTATTTATTAAACAGTATATTTATTCATTTATTTTACATTTACCAGCCTGTATATTCGAGAAATCTTGCCAGAAAAAAAACATGGGCACGCCGGCTGAATTCGAATCTGCACCCATTAGGGGAAACAGTCATTAGACCTGGTCAAAGGTACAAATCCTGTCGGAGGGTGCATATTTTTCTGGTAAAATTTATCGAATATTCAGTGTGTAGAAATAAATATAAATGTTTTATAAATGTGTGTGTATATATCAAATTGGTGTATCAATGAAAAGCAGTGTTTAAGCAATAAATTAAATATGTCGGATTAATAAATGAAAAAATCCCTTACTCTCTCTCATATGTATGTATGTGTGTGTATATATGTATATGTATGTATGTGTGTGTATATATATGTATATGTATGTATGTATGTATGTATGTGTGTGTGTGTGTGTGTGTATATATATATGTATATGTGTGTGTGTGTGTGTGTGTATATGTATATGTATGTATGTATGTATGTATGTATGTGTGTATATATGTATATGTATGTATGTATGTATGTATGTATGTGTGTATATATGTGTGTGTGTGTGTATATATGTATATGTATGTATGTATGTATGTATGTGTGAGTATATATGTGTGTGTGTGAGTATGTATGTATGTATGTATGTATGTATGTATGTGTGTGTTTATGCAGGGAGAGAGACGGAGACATCAATTTAGAAAAAATAAAATAGTTTGACTTATAGACTATAAGGATAAATTCCCGGACCTGACCAGTGCGGGTTCGTCGAAGTCACCGGAACAAAAAACGAGGTATTTATGCTCAGAATGTTATCAAAGAGAGTAATACAAATGCAGAAGGACGCGAATTTCTGTTTTACAGATTACGCAAAAGCCTTTGATAAAGTACGCCACAAAGATCTGTTAGAGCTGCTCAGAAAAGTTGAAATATTCAAGAAAGACATTAGAATAATTAAGAATCTATACTGGCAGCAAACCGACTGCCTACAGACAGAAAATTAGTTCAGTAGATATAAAAATATAGAAAGGGGCGTAAGACAAGGATATGTCTTCTCACCGGATTTATTCAAACTATCCAACGAAGCAATTCTGAAAGAATTATAAGTCCTACCAAGATTCATTATTGGCGGCCAGTCTTAATATAAGATATGCAAATGACATTGTTGATGGCAGAAACAAAAAAGAAAACTAAAAAATCTTCTACAGAAAGTAGCGAAGGAAAGTGAGAAGAACGGACTAAGCATAAATTCCAAGAAAGAAGAATATATGGTTATCAGCAAAAGGGGGTGAACCCAAAATACAAATTACAAATCGGGGATACTAAAATCAAACAAGTACAAAAATTTAAATATCTGGGGAGTGTTCTAACAGAGGACGGAAAGTGCGACACTGAAATGTATTGGGATGACCAAAGATGCATTCCAAAAGCTAAGCAGAGTATTAAGAGACCGAAAAATTTCGTTAAAAACAAAGACAAGAGTTTTGAACAGTTATGTGATATCTATCCCGTATGGCAGCGAATGCTAGACAATCTCCTCAAAGATGAATAGACTTGAAGCAACAGAAATGCATTCTACAGAATGCTGAGAATACCATGAACGGAACGTATAAGCAGCAATGAGGTGTTGGAAAAATGGAATCAAACAAGGAAACGTATACTTAACATCAGGAAGAGGCAGTTTAAATTTCTGGAGCACGTAATGAGAAAGGAGGGCTTGGAAAATCTGATACTCACAGGACAGTTTGAAGAAAAGAGGACAGGAAAGCAGTGCGTGACATACTTGATCAGCTTCAGTAAATGGGTGTTAGAACAGGGTTTGGGAGAAATAACAAAAAGGCAAAATTTATTAATAGCTACAAGAGACAGGAATGAACGAACACGGCACACAAAAGAAAAAGAATGTCTTGGAGCGCCACACACACGTGTAATTCGCAAAGTTCATTAAAGTTATGTAGAAATTCAATTGGCTAATAGCTAAAGGTGCTAAATTGCCACTTTAAAGATAAGACCGTAAAAATTAGTTATATTGAGCGCAGGCGGACAACAAATTGGAGATTTCAGAATCAAGTGTAGAAAATTAACCATGTGGAAAGTGTTATATAAAAGACAACGGAAAGTGTGACACTGAAATCTGAAGTCCTCCCTATCTAACATACGACTGGAGTAAAATCGGTTCATCCCTTTTAGCAAAGGAAAAAAAAGCGCGAAGTGAACAGAACCAGGACTTGAACTCTGCTCTTTGATTCCACTTTCCGCGCTCGTAACCGTTACGCTATCCACATGTCTATATGTATATAATCTACATGAAGATATCATTGCCATTAATGTCTTACCATTATGTGGACTGAAAATCTAAAAAAATTCCCTCTGTACCGGATTTATTCGACCGTTAAAGTAATGTAAGGCAATTCTGAGAGAACCAGAAGTCCTACCAGGATTCATTATTGGCGGCCACAATCTTAACGATATAAAATATGCAGATGACACAGTATTGATTGCAGTCACTGAAAAGAAACTCCAAAAGATGAGGGACACAGGAAAGCAGCCCGTGACATTTGATCAGCTTGAGTAAGTGGATAGCAGAAGCTACAAGGGACAGGAAGATGTGGAGGGCCATGATCGCCTACGTTCTGAAGGGACTCATCACATGGAAGAATACTCTGGAGCACCACACACACACACACACGTGGAATTCGCAAATTTCTTTATGTAAAGTTATGTAGAAATTTAATTGGCTAACAAGTAAAGGCTGTAAGTTGCCACTTTCCTGATAATTTTAACGGTAAGAATTAGTTATATTAAGCGTAGGCGAACAATGAATTGGAAATTTCAGAACCAATTATAGAAATTTAACTATATGGGAAGTTTTATAAAAGAACGAAAACATTTTCGAGTGGCACGGCACATAAAAGGATAATAGTCTTGAAGGATTCTTTAATATTTATCGTTAATATGTTGTTTTTTTACGAGTTTGGAGAAAAAAAAAAAGATGTTTGGAGGCAGTAGAAATGTGGTTCTACAGAAGGTTGCCGAGAATTCTACAGACGAAATCTTATGGAAAATACAAACAAAAAGGACACATACTTTGAATCAAAGAAGACTAAAATTTGAGGGACACATGAAGAATTAGGGTATGGAAAATTTGACACGTGCAAGACATAATGCGAAAATGGACAATGGGAGGTAGTGGGCCACATACCAGTCGAGATTGTGTGACTGGATGGAGGAATAAATGAGAAGCTAACGCCTTTCCAAAATGGTCATGGCAATTCACAGATAATAAACGATATCTGTGGACAACTAAGGCCATTTATGTCCTGAAGTAAAAATATAGATTAATAATCATTTATCCGTAATTCTTGGGACCGGAAATGTTTCAGTTTTCCGATTTTTTTTTTCGGATTTTAGAATACAGCTTATTTAATATAGCGTCTATAAAATGGGGCAGCTTGGGAATGGAATCCAAGCATAAAACACGATATCCATTTACATTTCACGACATATATAAAACTACCTTCAGTGTATAAGCTAACTGACATACTCTGAGAGTAGTTTATATATAAAATTTGCTAAAAATTTAGTGTCCATAAAAGATATAGGCAATAATGTAAGTCATAGTATGTTCACACGGATTTTTAAGTAGTGAAATTAAGTACGTGTACAAAAAGAGGAAGAAATAAAATAATAATGATCACTACTTACAAAACTATATAAATGCAGGACTTAACATTTTGAATAATAACTTTACTGAGCAACGAAACACCTGGTAAATAATCTGCGAACGAAAGTGTTGCTGTGACGATCGCTACCAAAATAACTGGCGCTTACATAAGCTACGTAGCTGGGTTGGAGAACCCCCACCCAGGATAGATGAGGTTACTTACAACATCTGCACATCACCACTTCACCGTGCTTTCTGAATTATTAAATATTGTGGCAAGTCATATCAGCACTTGAAAAACTTTCGGATTTGGGCATTTTTTTTTTTTTTTTATAAAGGATACTCAACCTGTAATAACAAAATAATGATAAAATATCTTGAGTAATATCTTAAAAAAAATGTAGCTTTTAAAGAAAAAAAAAAAAAGACATCTTTTTCCCGCGCTACGACGGAAAAATCCTAAGATAGAAAATTCAGAACTTGAATTGCAACCGACGGGAGAAGAGAGAAGAAACATTGAAATAGGCCAATGTATCTTTACAGATCCAAAAGTATTAATGCTAGGTGTAGAACAATTGCCGACTCGCATCAATTGGTACAGTAAAAATACAATGTGTATACACTTGACTGCTGTCATTGTAACATCTGTGTACTTAATCTAATACCACTTCATTACAATATGAATGTGAATAGGTAGTGCTTTACAATAATGTATACCAATTTAAATCATAAAACATTTTGTGAGTTTTCTTCCTTTGTTTTCCTGATGATAGCTTCAGTCTGATTGGGTCTATTCGATAGAATTGACATACATATTCCTTAACATAAAAAAAGACAAGTCATATTTCATGGAATTACAGATATACATTATTTAAAAGAGACATTGAAATCTCTCTCTCACACAGACATTATATGTGTGTACTTCTACTGGAGGTCATCTCCTTAACTCAAGAACAAGTAAAAATAATGATAAACGAAGTATAAATAATAATAATAAAAAAGACCCTGCCGAAAATCACTTATTCTCGCTATTTCCATGGCATGACATGCAACATTCTTTAGTCCCACTATGCCTGACTTTTACAACTGGGTTTGGTTTACGGCATATCAACTTCAATGCCGACAAGAGTTTTTCATTGCTGGTAATATTTTTTCCTCCCAAAATGTATTGTTGGTATTAAAACCTATTTTTACACTTTCATAGTATTTTAACCCCAGTTTGTGGGTTAACTATTTACCCACAGCTGGGACCCCAACAGGCGCTCCCACCCAGATTCAGGGTGGACCTGGGAGCATCAGAAATTAAGAGGTGGTTCCACGCTCCTCAAAACCTCCTGATCAGAGACATTGATGCCTCATGTAGTTTATCGTCATACCCAGGAATGAAGGTTGAATGCACTTTCAAGACGGGCGTTCAAAACGCTGTAAAAAATCCTAAACCTAATTGTCTATAAAAATGTTCTAAACAATTTTAATATAGTTTGATCTTGCAATAGAATTTCGTTAATTAGCCGTAATTGTCTGAATATGAATTCCGTTTTGTTTGAGGAAAAAAAATACGCGTTCATAACTTCTTATAACCAAATACTTCATCAGAAATTAGTAACCACGCAATAAAAATAGTATGAATTGCTTCAGACACACCTGTCCCCGAACAATCCATCGGTTCTCTTACAGGATTGGAATCAGTTATTGCCAGGACATCCTAGCACTTTAAACCTTCCGGCTACTGGTTTTCCAAGTACAGCCATTCGTTAAGGTAGTTAAGCTCAGGTCTGAAGCTCAAACGCTCGGTCACAACCATCGACGTCTCCCAATTTGGGTCTACAAACCTTGGGTCAACCCGTGGTATGGTTTTCAGAAAGGTTTTCCATTCCGCAAGTCGTTAACATCTAGAAGTTATCTTCCTGACAAATTGACTATGAAAATTGAACCCGGAACTTATGGTCGGAGAGCGACCGTTGTAATCACTCCACCACGTGACTACACACATACAGATTGTTTTACGGATATTTTTCTTCAAGAGAACGAAATTCTTTAATATTATTATTTTATTAAATTAGTATTCGATTAAATTTGATTACGATTTATTTATTTACATAAACATCAATAATAAGTCTTAGGGTTAAAAAGCATTATTTGAAGCATAAATATTTATGTTATCTCCCCACCCCTTTTGTTAATGCACTTAATTCAGTGGTAAATACTAATAATATAGACCGAAGACTATTCACTGAAAATTTCAGATTTATTCTAAAAGAATAATAATAAAAAAACAAAACAAAACAACAAAAAAAAAAACACCCACGCCACAGAAAATAATGACCAAGATTTCGAACGTGTTAGAAAGGTTTAAAATTTTTTTAAACTAATTTAAAAAAGTCTTTTCTCTTAATAAAAACAAAATTTTATCGTCAAAATATTTAAGTGCTGGGCTTTTTAACATATTTATGGATAAATATGCTCAATATCACGGATAGAGCATATATATATATATATATGTACACACCAAGTATATAATTGGTGTATACGGAATGAATTCCAATAACCAACAATTACTATTCTTAAAAGAGTGCTCAATACAAAGTAGAACAAATATTTATTTAGAAAATTTATAGCATAAACATGTTATAAAATCACTACAAAAATAGCCATTTTGTTTCAACACCCTCGGTGTCTTATCAAGTGATGATGTTGAATGCAAAACAAATGGTTTTAAAAGTTTCAAATTCGTTAACGATCTTTCACAAGGGGAAAACGTTGTTCCAAAAGCTAGAATGACCAATCAAAATACAAGTATAGGAAAATTCAAAAAGCCTGCAAAAGTTATGGGGACAAAACATACATACATAATTAAAACTATGTATGTATGTATGTACGTGTTTGTTCCACCCCCACACCTTTTTTTTTCATAAAGGGCCATGGAGATGTTCTGTCTCGTCACTTTTGTGTGTGTGTGTGTGTGTATCTAAATATGTCTGGATGCTTATGTATTATAATCTGATTGTGCTTGTGTTGTTTTACGCGTGAGTTTACGACCCCATTCGCACACTTGGGATTAAAATGTATACATATATATTGTCGGAGGACCGGATGGAGTAACGTCTTAGTCTAACGTAATTTCAACGAAGAAATAAATTGAATAACATATTCGGTAATTTTATAATTTTAAACTTAATAGTGATTAAATTTGGATTTTAAAATTGGCAGTTTTTAATTTTAATATCAAATTCTATCATATAATTTAATAATAATTATTGGTTAGAATAAATTCGTTTTTTAATTTTATCTGTATTTTAACGATCTGAATAGCTATTATAACATGACTTCGTTGTCAGGCTTTTTTTTTTCGTTTTTTTTTCAGTTATATATCTCGGATGTAACAGCATAATTATCCATCCCCCAAAAGGTTTAATATATAAAAAAAAAAAAAAAAAAAAAGTATTCATATGACATTTAGCCACCTTGACACCATTTGTCGTAAGAATCTTAAAAAAAAAAAAAAAAAAAAAAAAAAAAAAACAAAACAAAACAAAAAAATGAGTTATTCAGCTCAAAAGAGAACAGGTTAAAATTGTTGTGTCAGACCCACTGTCTGACCAATAGAGCAATGGTGAGAAGATAAAGATCATTCAAGCCTTCAGTAAAATGGTACCAACATCCATACTCTGGCTTCCTTCTTCAAAATCCACCCAAGATCATCAAGAGAACGGTGAATAAGTTTAAAAATAAGAGAACAGTAGAGAGGAAAACTGGATCAGGAGGTCACAACAGGACAAGGGATCATTTCAAATTAGAACCAAGAAATCAATTAGAAAAGAGCCAACTCAATCCATAAGACGTTTGGCACGTGAGAAGAGTTGTAGCCGTGACAGTCCAAAAAGCAGTGAAAAAAAAAAAAAAAAAAAAAAAAAACTGATAAATACGCGAATCTTGTGAAGCACCTTGTTACTCCAAGATAGAAAAATTATGTTAGAGAGGCGAAGATCATATTAAATATTTTCGAAAGTGTTTTTGGAATAATTATAGAACTTTATTTCAATCCTTCATGAGCTTCCGATCCTTAGCTATCATTAATTAGTGAACATTTCGTTTATGATCGATTTCATCACGATTCTTCTGTTAAGCTTGGAGAGTAATTATATATTCTTTTTGTTCAAAGTGGAGTCCAATATATTGTTATAAAATCCTCGGAGAATTCCAATAAAATATTTAATCACTTCTAAGATGCAACGGATCAAAGCTTAATCTAACAATTGGACAATTTTGATGTTACACGATTTGGAGAATTCTGCTGTTACACCAGGTGTACATAAAATTTTCAAATCCGCCTAAATCTTCCACAGAACGATGCCTTAAGTCTTTTCTTAATCTGTGAGGAGATGTGATATCTAATAGATTACCTTTGTTTTAAAAAGGTATTATCTTTTAACTAATTAAGAAAAGCATGTTTCACTATTCCTATGCGCAATAATTCCTTTACTTTTACTAAATATGTGTAATTAAAATTGACATACATATATATATATATATATATATATATATATATATATATATATAATGTGGGTGTGTGTACGACGCATACATTTATATATGTTCTATGAATATTTAATGAGCAATCTGTAAGAGAAGCGGAAAAGAATTTGCCGTGAACTTAAACTCGCGCCCATGTGACATGAATGGGCATCAATAGGGTTAGAGCTGTATTAACCCTGTAGCATTTGTAATTGGAAAACAACGACAATAAATACCACACGGTCCTTCCTATTTGCGAACTGACAATTGTTAATGCTATGTAATATTTCTCTCAAAAAGAATGAAATCCGACAAAAAGATTACCAGTTTCTCTTTGCATATTTCTATGTTGGGCGTATCTGTCAATGAATTGCCAATATATGGTTAGTATAGTAGCTTGCTTTCTCAGCACTTTTGCCATTCAAGAGAACCTAGAATATTTTTCACGGTGTTACAACGCCCAAGAGCCGCTCGAAGTAGAGGGCTACAGGGTAAGAGTTTATAGAGATATGAACAATTCAAGTCTTGAGTTAATCGTTAAGATAGGTACCTCCACGAGATCGCTAAAAAAAAAAAAAAAAAAAAAAAATGCCAAACTTGACGAAAACAAAATTTTATCGTCGAAAGGTTTGTTATTTTTAAGAGGAAAGATCAAAGTATTTTGGGGGTATTTTTTTTCCCCATTTTTTAATCGTACCTAGCGCGTCCAAAATTTTCGTTAAAAATCTTTTTTTTTTTTGAGTCAGCAAAATTGAACATTTTTTTTTCCATTTTATAAAAAAACTGGAAATCTCGCTTTGAAATTCTTTTAAATATCAATTATCATTTTTCAAAACTTATTTTAAGAAAATCAGAAATTATAATGTTTATCTGAAATATTTTGAACCAAGCTTAACTTAGCTTTTGCGCCGAAAATATGTAATTTAAAAATAAAACAAAGCAGGTCAAACTTTCGCGTCACTTGACAGGTGATGAATGGCATATTGACGGATTCCGTGAAGC